GCTGTGGGTGTCCTGCTTCCTCCCTCACTCCCCCGGGAGCTATGCTCCCCAGTCGTAGATAAATGGGGGCGGGGGGTGGGGGGGGACGCCTGCTTCCTCTAGGGTCCGGCCAGCTGAGAAGAGCTCGTCTGCACATTGGGGTCTCACTGGGCCTGAGTAAATGAAGCTCTAATTCTGGTTTGACTCTGGCAGAGGTAAGCGCACAGTGCTTAGAATTCTGAGTCTTTTGTATCACAATTCTTGTGCCCAATTCTGACACTCCCAAAGGAAAACCTGGGTGGCTCAGTTTGAGGCTCCTGTCACTTGCGTAACGGGACCTTGGCATTTACACGGGAAGAACCTGCACATCGATTAAACCGGCTCGGCACAGCCACTGTGGGAGTCATGGCTTTTAAAGTTTCCTCTGAGATGGCTTGGTGGAATTCGGGTACAACTATTCTCCTCAGTTTGGAACAAGGTTCTTTTGTCTCTAATGGGCATGTCAGAGGGAATTGGAATATGGCAGTTCCAGAGGCTGAGCCCCCGGGTCTGGGCATCCGGCAGCCGCTCACAGTGATATGTACTCAGAAACAGTGGTTGGGAGAGCAGGGACACTGGGCCTGCTGAAGACTAGTGGGATACAAAATGTTACTTGAAAGTTACAATATATGTTATAATATAGCAATATATTTCATATTTAAAATAAACTGTTATGCTTTCTCCTATCATTAAAAAATAGCAATCAGTACAGAGGCAAGATGCAAATTCAGATCGAAGCTCACATGATTCTGAACACAAACACTTGTTTCCGAGTTCACCATGGAAATGTGCTCTCTCCTGTTGTTCGCTCCTGCTCGGCGCAGAAAGCGGAGTCCGGGACCAAAGAGAGTTATCACGCCATTAAAATGTCTGATGAGGGTGGATTGGTCCTGGTTGAGACCATGTGACACAGCTAGAGAATGTCATTTACTCCCTGTCCTTCCTCTGAGGACCTGGATGTTGGCTCTTCCAGTCAGATTTGTCACTGATTTCTTTCTTTCTTTCTTTCTTTTGGCTATAAATTCAACATTTCTTTGGGATCCTAACTACAGGTTCGTGTTGAATTTTGTGCTTTTCCTCCACCAGCTTGGTTGGTCACAACACTTCTTTTGTTTCGACACGGGGCCCAGGCCCAAGATACGGCTTCCAGAATGCGCTTCTCAGGCGTGTGAACTTGGCACCTAGATTTGGAGGCTGCGCGTTGAAGCTTTGATAACGGTTTTGTTCAGAAGGAACTCCAGTTTGCGTTGGGGTGTCTGCAGTGCTGGCCTAAGAACAACAGGCCACAGCCACAGGCGTTCTCCCCCTGGGTACCTTTTCACCCCCTGCTCCGTGAACCGCGTCCACCTATCTCGGTACAAAATCTACGCGTGACTTGTCGGCCGGGAGTTTCACGGTAACTTCTACCCGCACAGCCTGGCACGAGCTTTCAGGATGACGGGCACTCACCCACATTCCACCTGCATTCCCTGGTGGCATCGGTGGCCCCGTTCCCACTCCACGCTTACTTCGGCAGCCGCAGAGAAGAAGGGACAACGCCCGGGGCGTGGCCACACTGGCCGGCCCTGGTGGGGGGCTGCCCCACGCCGACCCGGAGGCCCGCAGACCGCTGTCTAAGGTGCCGAAGCCCAGCGCCGCCGCCGCATCCACGGGGCCGGCGTGGCGGACGCTAGCGGATCCTTACTCTGCTTTCCGGGGAAGTAGCCCGACTGTGTAGACTGGGGACGTATCTGAGGACTTGAAAGCAGCGACTTACAGCGCAGGAACCTCTGGTAGCGCAGCGACCTCCTAGTCCCTCGCTTGTGCGAGTAACACCGTCTTCTCTGGGACGAAGCATGACTCCTAATTTGGGGCGCACTGTTGGTGGAGGGACACCCTACGGGGGAGAGGGCCTGTGCACCAGCCCTGCGTTGCTCACGCTGCGCTCACCCCCCAGCTGACACAACCAATGATTTCTGGTAACTGCTGAGGACATTCGGGGCACCGCGGGCGGGGCCGGGGCGGGAACGCGGTCTGGCTGCTCTTGACGCCCCGTCAGGTCTGCCAAGTACATCGCGCTCCGGGACAGTAACTCTCGTCTTCGCGGCCGCACAGAGAAACCGAGGTGTGAGGAGGCTACATTAATCGGCCGAAGACGTGGACCCAGCCTGAGTGCTTATTTCCTCTGATTCTGTATCTCTAACTTTCTTCCTTTTTCCTTCCTTCACTCACACTGAAAATCTAAGCTGGGGGGGAGTCCTCAAACATATTAGAATCACGATTTCTTCAGGGCTGTTCCTTCTCGGCCTTTAATAAATAACAAGAGCTGCAGGCGCTCGCTTGGAGTTTGCTGGTGCCTGCGCTCTCCGTGCCTCTGGCCTATGGGCTTGCTGCTCGGTCCGTCACCTGCCAGAAGTCAGTGGCGACCCAGGGCCTCACCCCTCTTGCTCCCCTGCACTGCATGAAGCATTTTTAGAGATATGATGTCATGAAGCTGCATGTTAGGAGCAGGGCAAGAACAGTTCAGACACTTTATGACAATTTATTGATGATGATCAGACATGGGTGGCCTTTGACCCAAAGGTGCAGATTTGTATTTGGACTTCAGTCTAAGGAGGACGGAGCCCCTAGTCTGGTAAAATTTACCAGCTGATGCTATGTCCTGAAATTCCACGGAGATCAGTGGTCTTAAAGTATCACAGTACGTCCCTGGCTTTACAGTACATGAGACTAGAGTATGGCTTACGTGATGAGGTGTGGCTCTGCAGTTTTTATTCAAGTGTCTAGATATTTTCGGGACCATTAGGGTATCTTACCTGTCACTAAGTTATCAGAAAAGTCATAGCGGGGCTCTGCCACTGGGTCGGTCTTCCAGGAGTGGGCAGAACTCAATCAGTTCAGTATTAGAGTGAGCTTACTGTAACGAATGGTTTTGACATATAGCCAATTCTCGAGTAGCTACCAAAACCTCCTCCGCCACTAAACTTGAGAATAAGGAGCAAGAAGGCACCTGCCGCCGTTTTCCATCTGACCGTGATGCTGAGGCACAGTGGAATTAACCAGAAGATGGGCTGTAGGGAGAAAGCCTGGAGGGGCCTACACTTTGGGTAGTCAATACTGAGGTCATCAGGGTTGATTGCACTCCTGGAGAAGGGATCACTTCCCCACACAAAGCTGAAACGCTAGGACAGAGAAGCAGCCTCCCGGTCACATCGCGAGGCCAGGAAGCAGGTGTGATCACCACTGTTAACCACACCAGCTGTCACACTACCAATAGGCCACGTCATGCCACGGATGCCCACGTGTCCCGGCATGCCAGCGCCCCCCCTACCAGGGCTGCTGGCCTGGTCTTCAGGATTCACTGAGGTGCACAGCATGAATGAGGGCCTACAGTCACCCACTGACCTGGGCGGATCAGCGGCATCTTGCGCGTCATTTTTTTGAGGTTAAGACTAAATCCCTGTATGTGCGCACACGGAACGGAGACGGCGAACAGGAGGGAGCGGGGAGGGCTGCGGGTCAGTGACCAGGACGGGCGCATGCAGGGCCACCTGCCTGCAGCCTCCCCCTTGTGAGATGGAGCTCTGGTCGCAAAGACCCTGCACGGTAACTTCATCTGCGCGCACATCTGTTTCCCGGTTCCGCTATACGTCACTGAAACGGGAGCCCGTTCTCGGGACATAAAAAAGGAGGGTGATCTTTCAGATAATCGACAGTTAAAGGAACAAGTGAAAAAACAAAGAGCCAGCAGCAAGTATGGTGTCTGCAAAATAGCCAATGGAAATGCTCCCAGGAGTCACCAAGACGGGGACAAGACTGTGGGCGGAACAACGGCCGGAAAAGGAGATAAAAGAGGAAGTTTAGCAAGAGACCAGGTCTTCTGGAACGAGTAGCTGGGCTCTAGGGTCATCTATCCTTTGCCACCTAGTGATCCCCCTGCCCCTAGAAGACCTGGCCCAGCTCTGATGTCAGGGAAGTGACATGTCCCGTGCACAGCGAAGCCCCGCAGAACAACCATGCGCAGATGACACCGTGACGCTCTGCCCGAAGCAGATGAAACATTCCACACCGTCTCGTCTAACTCCCCACCAGCTGCAGCCAAAGACCCTACGACGAGAAGAGCGACGAAACACAGGAACGTTGCGAACGGTCACGTACAGAGCAATGAGAGGTGGGGTCCATGTGCCTCACCCCCGATGCCGGGCACTGCGCTGGGTCTGGATGTTTCTCAAGTTTCTTGGAGTTTGAGACAAATTCGAACGGTTTTTGCATCAAGATTAACATGGCACAGTAGGAACGGGCTGCTGACAGATCCGTCACCTCACCTTACCCACAAGCCTCCCTAAGGGCCCTCATCCTCAGATTCTTTCATTCTCAGGTGGTCTCAGGTCGGGGAGAAGGGGCCACACAGGCCACTCACCACCACGTGTCCCAGCTCAGCAGCTCTCGGGGGGCGGCGCTGGACCCCTCTGCGCTCCTAACGCCTGGGGTGGGAGCACCGCTGCTGGATGAGGGTGGCTGAGAGGGTCCCCAGACCACGCTCCTCCTCACGGGGGTCTCCCTGGGCTGCACCTGTGTGTGCACGTCCCCTCCCCCTACATACCCACGCGGGTCACCCGCTCCACTGGAACACAGCGGTTTGGATATAAGGAGAAAATTCTGCACGGGCTGTTGGTTTTAGTAGGCTGCTTATCTCTCTAGACCGCCAACAAGTGTGGCTCGGCGTTCATCTCAAGCCCAGCAAGGGTGGTGCGTGTCCAGGGTGGGCACCTGCGTTGTTGTCTGAAGGGGCCTGCGTCTTAGTGAAGCTCAGGATGTGCCCAACCAGCAAACTACCCGAGCTGAAGGCACCCACGTTCGGATTCAAACCGACTCCACACGTATTTAGTGCCTACTGTGTGCGGGGTGAGGTAGCAGGTCCCTTTTTCTTCGGGTCAAACTCAAACAAGGACAGACCTGTGTTGGACGTGGGGGTGTGTGTGTGCACACACTTGCAGACACACAGGAAAATCTGGCTTTTTATTTGTCTTTTTTTTTAGTCTAAATGGGTTTTATGACCGGTTAAGGTTCGGGAGGAAAGAACGTCTGTTTCGGCAAGTTGTGGCTGCCCTTCCTGCCTTTTGTCGCCCGGAGGCTTCCTGAGGCCCCAGTAGGGAGGGACCCCCCGAGCCGGAAGCCACCCCCCTGGAACCCTCTTCTGGGCTCCTTCTCTCTTGGCTGCCTCGTGCACCTGCCCCCCCGCCCCCCACGTGAGACCTGAGATGGAGCGTGATTTCTGTTCTGCACCAGCCCTGATGCCAGGGGCCCGCGTCCTCTCACCTCCTCTTCCTGCTCCCAAGTAGAGGCACCTAAACAGAGATTAGATTTCTGGTTCCAAGGCATGTTGAACCAAGCACGCTGAATGAACACGAGTTGGGTGATTAGCTCGGTCTCTCCTCTTTACGGTCCCTGGTCCGATGGGTCCTTGATGGCAAAGTGACCAGGAGAGAGTTGATTTGCATCTTAAGACCTATGGGCAATGCTTCTGGAGTGGGGGGCTTATCTAGCAACTGCTTGAACTTGTGTATGGGGTCGGGAAGGAGGTGGAGCTGACCCCGAGGGGGCTGTCGGAGGCTGGGGGCGTGTGGGTGGCGCCCGCGGGGCCGGCCCGGGCCTCGGCGATGGCCGACAGGAGCTGCTGCTGCTGGTGCAGGGCGTCGGCGATGAGGAGGGGCAGGGAACTGAAGCCTGCAGCCAGGTGCTCCAGCTTGGACTCCAGGCTGCCGATCTGCTTCTCCAGGTCTTCGCTCCGATCGTTGAGCTCTGTGATCAGGTCGTACATGATGTTCTGCATCTGTACGGAGAGACGGGACCCTACAGGTCATCGCAGGGGGACCTGCGACGGGAAAGTGAAGTGCTCCCAAGTCACAACGAGAGCGAGGTCCACACCCGCGCACCGGGTCTGGCCCACCCAGGAGAGGACCTGGAGGCGCAGGGGCTGGGGGGCTGGCGGCAACCCCCGCCAGGAATCCCGTGTCACGGGGAAGCAGACGGGCGAGGCCCGGCGGGTCCTCATGTCCTTGCTGACCCGACCTCCGGGCTCAGAGGCTGCGCAAGAAGGCACCGTGCTGGGCTGTGGATGGCACGGGGACCTGCCGAGTCTGAACCCTGGCTGCCTTATAAAATAGGAGTGATAACCGCACGTGGTCACCACGCTGTTGCCGGTCAGCTGTGTCCAGCGCAGCAGCCGGACGCAGGGACTCGCCGCCGGCCGGCTCCGCATCCACACGCAGCCACTGCGTGCGGTCACAGCCCCTCCCCACTGCCTGGTCCCCGGGGAGGTCTGCTGCCCCATCTGGGACATCCCTGCAGGGCTAGTCCTTCCCCAGAGCTCCCGCGGGCCGGCTGAGGCCTCTGTCCATCTGTCACGGTTCAGAAGCCCCCCGCACCCTGTCCTGCCTCCTTCACTCCCGAATGGGCCCCCCAGCAAACCTCCCGCCTCACTGCTGTCTCCCCGAGTCCCAGCGACCTGCCCCATCTCCCGTGCCCTGCTTCATACTGCACCCCACCCCCACTCCCGATCCTGCTAACCTGCTCAACTGTCCCCTTTTCCTCCCACCTTCTTTTTTTTTTTTAAGATTTTATTTATTTATTTGACAGAGAGAGACACAGCGAGAGAGGGAACACAAGCAGGGGGAGCGGGAGAGGGAGAAGCAGGCTTCCTGCCAAGCAGGGAGCCCGATGCGGGGCCTGATTCCAGGACCCCGGGATCATGACCTGAGCCGAAGGCAGACGCCCAACAACTGAGCCACCCAGGCGCCCCTCCTCCCATCTTCTTTTGCACTAGCAAATTCTGCTGCCCCTGGGGATGGGCGCCGTCACCCACCGGGAGGGACCCTCCTTCAGGGCCTGGACCTTCGCCTGCTGTTTTACTGATGTGTCTCAAGGGCCTAAAACAGCACCGGCCTGTAGGACATGCTCAACTAACAGACACACAAACATACATACTCACACCTAGGGGGGTGGGGGGCAGGGGCCTGTCCCTGAAAGATGTCGGTGGAACAAACAGATGAGTGAGGCGGGCATGGGTCCCGCCCATCCTGGGCCCAAGGTAGGAAACCCACTGATGGGGAGAGAGGTTTCACACCACGAATTGTTCCCAGGTACCTAGAAAGGCCCTCAGTGTTTACCGACAAGACCCGTGTGGCTGAAGGGAAGGAAGGAAGAGCCCGAGGGCCCAGCCCAGGGCTGCCTGGGAGTAACCCTGCAGGAGGCCGTGAGGGCAGGGGGCAAACGGGGGAGCCCCCAGGGAGCTGAAACACAAATGAAACTTAGAAGGAAGCCAATAAACTTGCCTTCTGAGAGTTAAGTCATAAAACTGGATCGGAGCAGAGCTGAAGGGGGGCCTCAGGCCCGGGCGCCATTCCCTCCGGCTGCCTGGCCACACACCTGGGCGCCCCCCACGCCCCAGCACAGAGCCCCACCGAGTCCACACACACCCCTCAAATCCCGCCCAAGCCACCTGAGCTCCACACCCACCTCCCGCAGCTGCACTCCCAGTCCCGTCCCAGGTCCCACCTCTCCCTCATCGGGCCACTTTCTGATGAGTTTGGCTTCCGGGTTGGCCCAGAGAGCGCTCATCTGTGTGACAGCTCTGCTTCTCTGTAAAGCAACGAGGGACCCCCGTGCGAGCCCTCAGCCCATGGCTCCCAGTCCCTGTGGCGGCCACGGTGGCCGCTGCTCTGTACCCCCCGCCCCCTCCCAGGTAACGTGGCCCTTGGGGCTCTGGTCCTCTGCCGGTAACATCCTGATCCTATTGGCCTGAAACGCCAAGTTACTTCAGCAGACGCAGAAACCCCTGGAGCCGCGGCCCGGAGTAGGGATGGAGGTGAGAGGGGAAAGCAGAGTAAAGGAAGGTGGCAAAGTAAGAGGGCCGGAGAGGGGGTGGGGAAGGGGCCATCCAGAAGTAGGAGGAAGGCAGCTCAGCCTGGGAGCGCAGGATGCCCCTGGCGGACGGGGGGGAGACCAGACTTCGGAAGTGAAAGGGCTGCCTTCACTCATTAACAATCCAGAACCTCCATCGAGAGGCACACTGTTGCCGGACGTCCGGACCACTCACTCATTTGCCTGGCTGGGGCCCGGGCCCCTGGGTCTCGGCCCCCCAAGCGGCCGCTGACCAGCTGCCCGACCTCAGGGCGGCCACTTTGTGCCTTTGGATCTTGGCTTCCTCATCTGTATTCATAATGAGGACTACCATTTGCAAAACCTCCATATAGTTTACAAAGCTCTTCCACAGACACTGTCTTATTGGTTCCTTGAGCCTCGGATGCTAGGAATTATGTTTACGTTCCAATGAAAGACACCGAAGCTAGCAAATAAAGACCCAAGTCCTCCAGCAATGCCACCCTGTAAGATCGCTGTTCCATCTAGCAAATAATATTTGGAGGCTGTGTGCCATTTTCTTGATCTATCGAGGACCAAAGAGCAGGGGTGGGAAGGTGGCGAGCCTGGAGGATGCAGGACAGACAGAACACAGCCGTGTCCCCTGCTCCGTGGTTGGGGACAAGGTGCAGGGTGGGGGGAGGGGGCATATGGACCCAAATACACTGAGATGCAGCCGGGGCCCTGGGTGAGTCTCCGGGAGGGAAAGAGTGGGTGGAAGCAGAGCCCCCCTCTCCTGGGCTCGCCCCTGTCCCCATGGCAGCCCTGCAGAGGCCCCCTTCACCCTTCCCTGCACACCTCTCCTTCCAGGTGGCTCGCTGCAGATTACTGACGGGGTTTCAGTCCCCACACGATTCACTGAGCCGGCCTGTTCTTCACGGGGCCGCATCTCTGTGAGGCGCTGTGGGTGGTACTGAACCAAGACAGGCTGGAAAGTCCGTTGGCCTGATGTTCCCGGGAGAACATCAGCGACAGTGAGTCCTGCCAGCTGAGAGGGAGGCAGGAGAGCCCGCTGCTTGTAGGAGAAAGTCTGGGGGCATGGCATTAGGCTGGGTATTCCCGCATGGCGCTGGGTGAGTCCCCGGCCAGGTCTGCCCGGCACCACCCTCTTCCTGGCCACAGCTGGCTGGTCTGAGTGCAGACTCGTGACCCGACTGGCCAGTCACCTCATCTCTGAGAGTTCGGAGCTAAGATCACCAGAAGGCCAATGCGTCCTCACCTGTGGTCAGAGCGCTCTCTGGACAGGGGCGCCAGGGTCTGCCCGGGAGACAGAAGCCACAGTGGGGAGGGGACAGCAGGGGACAGACCTGAAGCAAGGTCTTGCCCAGGAGAGAGAGGAGAGGGTGAGGCATGTCCCTCCCGCCCCGCCGGGGCGTGAGGGCTGCCCATGGCCCGTCCTCTGTTCTCTGTGGCCCCTTCCTCGAGTCTGGCCAGGTGCTCTGAGGCTCTGGAATGAGGCTTCCTTCTGTCATTCTAAGAAAGGCCTCCATTTGTAAACCTAATTCTAGTGCTTCCTGATACCCAAGCATGTTAACTCTGTACCCGAGACCCCGGGGGCTTCCCTCCCACAGCCCAGTCTCCCCATCCGTCCCCCCACGTCCAGGCTCTGAGGCCCGGCTCCACTGCAGGGCCTGGCCCAGGCACACAGGCCCGGGGGCCTCCCTACACCTGCGCGTCTCTGCCCCCAGCACCCCCTCCCCGGCTGGGGAGGTCCTTGCTGGGGCTTGATCCCTTCATTGAACAAGGCGCCTGCACGTGGCCTGACAACTGGCAATTTCTCTGATTGCACCTCTTTTCAAAGGGTGCTAATTTGCCTGAGGGAGTTTCTCTGCTCACCCACGGAATGGGTTCCATTATGATAATTGACATCTGCTGGAATGTTCTGCTAGCCGGGCCCCAGGCTGATGTACAATCTTTATGGAGGGGCCGTGAGGGGAGGGGTTGCGGGGCGGGGGGGAGCGACCCAGCTCGGCCGGCAGGGTGGCCTTCCATTCTTGGCTGCTACGGCTTGCAAGAGGAGAGGCGAGTTTCTTCACGGTATTTATGGCAGTCTAAGTTAGAAGTGCAGAGTGGCAGCGTGGCGTCAATGCCGGGCTCCCAGGGAGGGTTCTCTTTTTTGCCACCTTCATGCTCACCACGGGGACCTGCCTCTTGAGAAGTAAAGAAACGCACCCCCCACCACCATTGGGGTCAGAAAAGCTGGTCTGTAAGGATTAGAGGAGGCGAGAAAATGAACTGCCAGGCGTTACCGTGTGCCGGGCAGCGTGGCCCCCGCGTCCCCGGGTGGGCCCGCCAGGCTGCCCCCCGTGCAAGCCCGAGCTCATTCTGGGGGCGTCGCCACACAGCCTCAAGATGAGGAGGCTGCTGAGCCACGGACACGGATGGACCCGCGGCCGCGCTGACCGGGATTTCCAGCAGTAGAACTCCCGTCAGGAACTCGACCCTGGACTCCTCTCCCCAAGGAGGGGCTGTCGTTGCTCTCCTGGCCCCACACCGCATAGCTGGGACGTGGCCGGGTCCTCGCAGCCGCGGGGGAGGGCCAAGGGCCAGGGCCTAAGAATGCTCCAGGTTCCGCCACTCACCTTGGAAAGGTCCACCAGGGTGTTGGCTTGGTCGCTCAGCTTCCTCTGCTCCATCTTGACGCTCCTCAGTCTGTGGGAAAGAGTCGTGAGAGCCAGACTCCCCGAGTGCCCACGACAACTTAGCCCCAAGTGCAGATTCCACATCTGCTCAATGTGCCTGACTCTGGAACCCAGCATGGGGACCTCGATCATGGGACCTCTATCAGGGGGCCTCGATCAGGGGGGCCTCGATCACGGGGCCTTGATCACAGAACCTTGATCACGGAGACCTTGATCACGGGGCCTCGGTCATGGGGCCTCGATCACGGAGACCTCGATCACGGAGACCTCGATCATGGAGACCTCAATCACAGGGGCCTTGATCACGGGATCCTCGATCATGGAGACCTCGATCACGGGGCCTCGATCATAGGGCCTCGATCACAGGCTGCCTAGGTCCCCAGGAAAGCAAATCTCATTTCCATGCTGTGACTTCTACCTCCTCATGCGCTGCTGTCAGGCCTTCTCCCTGCTTCGGTGCCGCTTGAATGCCCTCCTCCCCAGATCTCCTTCCTCCCTACTTCTCCACCCTACTTTCAAGTGCCTCTCTTCTGGAGAGCGCTGACCACAGTCGGCTCTGCTCCCAAGTGCCATGTGGGGGCTGTGTGTGTCAGGGGGGCTGGGGTGTCCCGCAGGCTCTTACCCTTCTCCCCGCCTTAGCGACCTGTCTGGGCCCACTGGCTGCAGGTGCCATAAATGGAGAAACAAACCAATCTGGGCCCGGCTCATGGCCCCCGGTGCTTGTCGGGTGCCCCGCACGGCTTTCTTCCGTGTTTCCGGGTCAGGAAGGTACCGACAGAGGCTCAGGCCGGCGGGCACCCTGCGTACTCACTGGTGGATGGCCTGGAGGAACTTCCGCTGGTGCTTCCTGACTTTGGCGTGGTCGATCTTCTTCAGCAGCTTCGTGTGTTTGTAGATCAGCCACGTTTCCCGGAGGACGTTGGCGGCAGCATTCTTGATCTGGGGAAAGACAAATAAGGCAAGTGGCTACCAGGTTCGTTTTCCTAGTTTCACATACTCTGTTTTTCGTGTGGGCTGATACAGTCTACCTTATAAGGACACGGTTCTGCCGAGATGTGTTGTTTCTTCACTGATTCGTGAACTCTTAGAAAGGAGGATTACAATTCATCCCCTAGGTCTCCCGTCTTGGACACAGCGAACAGGCTGGAGCTGTTTCTTAATTATTTCAGACTGCCCCTGGACCGCATCCCCCAGACCGGGGGGCCGGGGTGCCCTGTGGACGAGCAGAGCTCCACGCTCCACCTGAGACTTCCTCTTACTGCACAGGGCACCTTTCCTGGATTTGGAGACTGAACAGATTTCCTATCAGCTGGAGATTTTAAAAGGCCGCTTAGAGGAAATGTCTTTCCCACAAACGGAGCGAGGCCTCCGCCAGCCCAAATGTCCTTTTTCAAATGGCCAAAAACATTTACACTGTAATTTTACACGTAAATGTAATTGGCTTAAAGCTGACACCATTTCAAAGCAGTGTCTGAAAATCAGTGAAGATACCTAGGTGTGAGGCCAACGGCGCGACCTCGCCAAGCCTGGCAGCTCCACGGGCGCGGCCACCGGGCGCTCCAGCACGTGCCACGGGCATCCACCCGCATGGAGACCACTGGCACCACTGGCCGTCCACTGAGCCGGATGCATTGATGGCATCCAGATGGCAGGGGACAAAGTTTTCATCCAAACACAGACATCTTCGGCAATTAGGCACAAGAGCGAGAGGAAACCTTTCTTATTAAGCACCAGCTAAACAGCTTTTTGATGACCTGTTCCCCTTTCTGTGAAACATGCAAATTGGCTCAGGCCCACGGGCCCGGGGCCTGGACGTCCGTCGGACAGCCGGGAAGAAACCGAGTCACCAGCCAGAAAAGATTTTAACGAAACCAGCTTTTTCAGACTGACGTCGCAGATGGGACATTGTTAAAAGACTGAGGCGTGTGGGAAGGCCTGGGAAGCAGTTTTGCAGGCTGATAACTTTTGTGTGTGTATGTTTTAAAAATTTATTACCAAGGCTGGATTATATTTTTCATTGGCGCTGAAGTGATGTTTTTAAAAGAACAGCTAAATCTTCTCAGAAATGTCTAAGTGACATAAACACTGCTCTTTTGTTCAGTAAAAATCCATGGTGAAAATGGTTTTCGATGACTTAATTGCCCACTTCTGGTGCTTCCTGGCCTGAAAGGAAGCAGGTGGTGGTGATTGGACACTGGAGATGGTGAGTGTCCAGGTGAGCAGTGGAGGCGGGGTCTGTCGGGCCCCAGAGTGGACAGGAGCCTCCTGGACGAGGGAGGGGGCGCTCAGGATGCCCCCCCACCGCCCCGGCTCTCTCTGCAGAGTGCATACCACTGCCGGCTTCTCTGGATGGGTGAATTCTTCAGTTTTCCTGGGTGCTTAGCTTCCAAGGAAGGCCTCGCAGAAAAACGGGAGAAAAACCCTCCCTCGGCAGTTAGGACGACCAGCAGAGCCCCCGCTCCACACGAGTCCTCCCTGGAAGGCTGGCGAGCCGCGGAACGCCGGGGCAGATGGCCTTCGACATGTGTCTTGGTGTCGGTGAGGAGCGAGCAGCTGAAATGGGGAAGCTTGCAGGCTCAACCCTATTCTTCCAGTTAGTGAGCAGTTTAGGAATAAATGCTTCATTATCTATTGGGTGGGAGACATAAATCCTTACCCTCAGGTGGTCGGGAGGCCCAAGGAGGCGTGGGTCTGAGCACTTCATGCACATCTCAGTTACTCCTCCCCACAAACCCACTAGGCAGGGACTAGGATGTCCCCATTTTACAGAGGAAGAAACCGAGACACAGAGCAACACCAGGAAGCTATGCATGGTAAACTGAGCCAACATGGATTGAAGTGTTCCATAAACTCTACACACACAGGTCTTAGTTATTATCAGCCCGAGCCCCAATTTAAAATAAGAGGACACGGTGTCAGAGATGGGGCGCGAGCACAGAGTCACATGGCTAGCCAACGGCAAAGTCCACACAGCAGCCCCGTCCAAGAAGAGCGGGAGGTTTCCATGTGGTCTGAAGAACGACCCGACTAGACCTCATCTCTACACAAACAACACCATTTCCTGTTTCCTAGGACCGAGGACTTGGAAAAACATTAGCATTTTTTTTTTTACTCATCAGGGCCCTCACTCAGCCGCGTAACGGAGTGGGGAGCCCGGACCCCACGGCTCACTTCGGCCCACGTGCGAGGCTGGGAAGTCACGGCCGGCCCGGGCAGCGGACGCGGGCACCGCAGCATCCTTATGGGCTGCAACAGGAGGCCCCTGTGTATTTGGGAAAGCGATACCAGCCTCGGTGCTGACTCTGAAATTAATTGACAGCGAACAGCCTGGCACAAAGCTAAGTAGATCAGTCACTGCAAGAGAAGGAGAAGCAGGCTTTTAAGGGCACCGTGCCCTCTGACGCTGACAGGAAATGCCACAAGCAGGGCCTCCAGCTACGTCATGCGGCTGACGGCTTTGAATGTCACTGGGGAGGGAGCGGCTGAGGTCATGTGCCCCTCCCGGGATCCGCTGAGCTCCGGAGGGGGGCTCGGGTACCCTCTGAGCTGTCTTGGTGGGCAGGGGTACCAGGGCCAAAAGCTGGAGGATCAGGGGCCACTCTGGGCTGAGCGAGGCTGGCCACCGTCAGATGGGTCCTGCCTGCACGTGGAAAGCTGGCTCTTCTGTTCCCCAAACATGTAAGCACACAAGCTGTTTCCTTGCCGGGTCCACACGCTCTCGACCCAAAACGTGTGTGCGTCGCCTCTGATGGGGGCCAGAGCGTGGGCTCAGTGACCTCCAGGCCTGCCCGGGCCCCGCGCAGGGAGGTGGCGTGAGGAGTAGTCACGGCAGCTGACCCTGAGCGCTCTCTGTGTGCCAGGCTGTGCCCGCTGCTTCATCAGCCCCCAGAGAAGCCTCACAAGGGGCTGGAACCCCCTCTTCTGCTGCTGAACCTCCGTGAGACTCAGGTGATGTTCTCATTCCTTCAAAAGCAAGGAGCACCTACCACGCAGACCCCGTTGTGAGAATACCGTGATGAACAGGCCAGGAGCACCCCGCGCTGAAGGGCTCTCAGTCTCACCAGACCGTACGCGGCCTCATGTCAGTAATAAGCGTCGGGGACCCGGAGCTTCGGGGGAAGAGGCCGCACACGCCAGTGTTTGCACAGGGACCCGCCGGGCACAGAGCCCGGCCACCGGCTCTTCAACTCATGGCAGCTCCACGGTGCCCTCCCCCTGGATGTGAGCTTCCTCCTGCCCCCACCAGAGAAAACGTCACAGAACACGCTTGTCTGTTCCTTGGTTCTTGACCCCATCGCCCATGCCTGCGGCTTGCCCTGGCCACCCTCCCTGCTGCAGGGGGACATGGGACAGCCTTGGACGGGCGCCTCCAGAACACTCAGGGACCCCCCCCCCCCGTGATCCCCCAGGGAAGAAATCCCTGGCATGCCCTGTAGCTTCCAGAAAGCTCCCCGGGGCAAGGCTGGAGAGGGGACGGGAGAGGATGCAGAACACGCCTGGCAAGTGGGTGTGACAGAAGTCCGTTCAAGGAGCCCCTGGGTCGGATTCAGCTGAACTGAGCGCTGGTGAGCATCACGTCCGAGAACCTGCAGGTCAGCCCTTCTTTAGACACTTGACTGAAGGAGTCCGTTAGGGACAGGACTGGGGAGGAGGGCCTTGCCCTGCGGCCTCGCCCTGACACCCACAGACTTCCCGCTGGCTTCCTTTCCTCTCTCCGCTCCCACCCTCTCTCCAGCCGGTCCAGGCCTGTCCCGTGCCCCTTCTCAGGCTTCTCTGCTCGCACCGGGAAGCCAGCCCCAAGGCTTGGAACGGGCCTCCGCCCTGTGGCTGGCAGGAGCTCGGGGCAGGGAGTGAGGAGGGGAGGGTTTCTGTGGTTGGACGTTGGAGTTTGGAGCTCCTGGCCCCGCCAACATGGTGATGGATGGTGCTCAGCTGGACGCTGCCGTGGACGTGATACTCCGCTGGTGTGCTGGCAGACTGGCTTTTCTCACCCGCAGGCCTGGGACCCTAACCACCGGGCCAAGTTCCCAGGAACTGACTGCTCTGGAAAACCCACAGGGTTGTGGCTGGAGGCTGCGTGCGGGCCTGAGAACGTGCTGTTGCCCTGGCTATCATCCAGCTAGCTGCCGGTGGCTGGGCGCCTCGATCGCCCCTCTCTGGACCTGAGAGTCTCGTCCCTAGGCCTCCTTCCCGCTCAGAAGCTCAGTGGTTGTAGGATTCTTATTAAAGGAAACATGTCCCCAACCTCTCTGGGACAGAGCTCTGTGACCCAGATAATTTAGAGGCCCTTTCTGGGGGAGGATTAGTATTTGACAACTGATCCATCTATTACTTGACAAGTTTTTAAGAGATTAAGACCTGTGATGAGTAAATCCTTGAATTAGCCTGCTGGAAGAAAAAGTTTTTTCAGCAGGATTATGGTAAAACTTTTACAGATTCTTTAGCACTGACTAGTAAGTCCAGGGGGTTACTAAGGGTTTTGAGCAGGGTGGTGATATGTTCATAGCTAAGTCTTAGAGCCTCAGGGGACCCGCAGGGAAGCAAAGAGCAGGAAGACTAGGGACAGGGAGGCTCAGGGAGGGGGAGGTGGCGAGCACCTGTGACAGCTTTAAGTGTGGTGAGCAGAGGGCCTGGGGAAGCCGGCATGTGGGAACGGCCTTGGCGAGGTCGAAGTGGCTGGGGAACAGCTCAGGCCTCGGGGTCCAGGGCAGAGAAGAGTCCCAGATGCTGTAAGTTCCCAGGCCTGGAGACCAGGGAAGCCAGGAGAAGGAACAAGCGTAGGGAAGACAGGGGTTTGGTTTTGGTCTTATTCATTGGCCTCAGGGGAAATGTACTTAGATAAGTATGTGGGGCAAGAACCCCTGCGGCAAGGGTAAGGACACACAGTCCTCAGCCAGTGGCACGCGGCTGGTGCTGCCTGAGGTCCGGCGTGGAGAGTCGACCTGGCAAACGTCAGCCGCGTGCCTGTGGGCAGCCTGCCTGCTGGTTAGAAGAGGAGGTGCTCTCTGAGGGCGGGAGCTGCCTGGTGCCCATCTTGGTGTCCCCGGAGCAGAGCGTGACGTCCAGCGGGCGACCTGACGATGGGTGTGGTTAGTTCCGTAAAATGCGGAGATGGGGACATGCAGCATTGCGTCGGGGAAAGACGGGGAGCTAGTGTCTTTTTTCTAGTCTCTCTGTGTGGCGTTTACATACATATTATCTACCAGCCCAGACGGTAGCCAGAAATGGCAGCTCTGGAAGAGCAATGGCCCTGACCCCGTGAGGTCGCTGGGAAGGCCCGACTGCACTAAGTGCAGGGGTCATTGCTGCCAGAGCCGACAGGAAGACCATGGGTTCAGGGGGGCCAGGAACTGAGCTCCTCCCCCCGCGCCACCAGCCGGCCCCACCCCCTCCCGCCCACACGGTAAATACACAAAACCCGAGTGACTCTCACGGGCGACGACGCGGGGGCCAGAACTGCTGAAGCAAGCCCGGCAGGACCCATAAACTAGAACGCTCTGCGTATTTTTAGGACCAATAAATTACAATTCTTCTCTCTCTCTCTGCTTAGGTGTTTGGAGAATTAAGTTTGCCTGCATTTGTCATAATAGATTGCTTTTATCTGTGGAATGCACGACGGTCCTCTCCTGAGAGGTTTCTGATTATGCCGCGGTCGGCTCTCCGAGGTTGGGTCTTTCTCTGGTGCTTCACTGACGTCCCGGGAGAGACCACGCTCACCCTCCCTGGGCTCCAGGCGCAGAGGGGACGGGGATGGGGCCCCGGTGCCCCAGGGAGAAGGGCTGGGCTCCCTCACAGCCCAGCAAGGGGAGCTGAGGCTCTCCGGCACCTTCCTTCCACCCGAGGTTTTGGAGAAGAACTCTGGAAGCCCCAGGCCCGCCAGGCCCGCCAGCTTTGAGAATCCTCCCTCTGCAATGTTTGCTCCTCTGGGAGAAGATACGAGACATTAAAGAGACATTTATACAGATTTAGGTGTTCTCAGAAAAGTGAGATGTATTCAGTTTAAAAGGTACCTGGCGCTCATGGATGAGCCACAGATATTCGTTGATTTGATTTTTGGTCCTACTTTTCCAAAAAGTAAGTGGCCTTGAGGATTTATAGAATTATTTTAGAGGACGGGAAGCAGCGACCACAGTGTCCGCTCCTTCCACAGTCGGACTGCAGACAAACTGCTCATTTTCCCGTCAGGTGGGGGGGCTGGCTCTGCTTGGCTTTTTTTTTTTTTTTTTTAAGATTTTATTTATTTATTTGAGAGAGAGAGAATGAGAGAGAGAGAAAGCACATACATGAGAGGGAGGAGGGTCAGAGGGAGAAGCAGACTCCCTGACAAGCAGGGAGCCTGATGCGGGACTCGATCCCGGGACTCCAGGATCATGACCTGAGCTGAAGGCAGTCACTTAACCAACTGAGCCACCCAGGCGCCCCCAGGCACCCCTTTATTTATTTATTTGAGAGAAAGAGAGAGAGAGAGCCTGGGAGGGGGGAGGGTCAGAGGGACGAGCAGAAGCAGACTCCCTGCTGAACAGGGAGCCTGATGTGGGACTCAATCCTGTGACTCCAGGATCATGACCTGAGCCGAAGGCAGTCGCTTAACCGACTGAGCCACCCAGGCGCCCCTCTGCTTGGCTTTATTTTCCTCCACTGTCTGATTTACGGGGCAGAAAATGGAGAAAGCACGGGAATAGCACGCAGTACAAAGTGTATTGGGGATTTCACGAAGCACAGCAGACTATGCAGACTGTTCAGGCCTCTGCTCTAGGGAAGCAGCTGCCGGAAGGTCCTGGAGGCAGGGCCGCCCGCCCTCACCCCTGCATCACCCTGGTCACCCCTGCACCAGGAGGCCGGGTGCTGGTGGGTCTGTGCACGGTGGCACCAGTCACGCTCAGTGCTCAGTGCGGAGCTGCACTCGTGTGCGTCCGCCGGGGCTGAAGGGAGCCGCTGGGCCACAGGCCTCCGGGTGGATGCCACTCAGAAAGCCGCGGGCACAGCCCCCCGTTCCACCATCGCGATGCTGCATGACGCTCTCTGTTGTGCATCGGACGGCGAGGCCTGCCTGCCAGCCGGGGAGGATGTTTGCGGGACCCGCACCTTTGCACATCTGGGGAGCCTCTGTAGAGACTCCAACACAGGGACACAAAGGCCAGACAATCAAACCCCATAATAATGCTGCTGAGAAGCGCAGGGGCCTGGGCACTGGCGCTGGCCTCCCCGCCTCCCTTCTCCTCCCTGCCTCCGAGTCTGTTGCTAACGCTGTTTTCCCGGGCTGCAGCGTTATCACAGAGTATCTTCTCTTGCGTTCAAAACCCCAAACCAGCACCTGGTTGCTTGCGGGCCCCCGGCCCCCTGAGTCCTGAACCAGAAAGATGGGCCACAGCGGCCCTGGCCCCAGCACAGGGTCTGAGGCTTGTCTCAGAAAGGAGTCTTGCAAGAAATCCTCTTGCTGACCTCTGTTCGGCCTGCAGCTCTAGAGAATTCTCCGTAAAAGCGGCGTTAAGGAACGGTTCTGCCTGCTCGCCTGGCTGTTGTCCTGGAAGGGCCGGTTTCTGTCTGTTCTCTGACCGTTGAGCGGTGGCAGGCTTCCAGCAGCTGACCCATCTCCCCGGCCTGCACGCCTCCTCCCCGACCACGAGCGAGAAGCACTGCCCGGAAGCCCCCAAGGGGGACTGGATGATGACACTTTGATGAACACCCATTTAGAAATGGGGGCTCTGCTGTGATGATCGTCTTTAATGATTTTTTAAAAAGAATTGGATTTAGATGCAATATTGTTTTTAAGACTCTACTGGCCTCCCTGGGGTGCCCGGCCAGCTCAGTCAGAGAAGCGTGCGACTCTGGATCTCGGGGTCGTGAGTTCGAGCCCCATGTTTGGTGAAGAGATGACTTAAAATAAATAAAACTTAAAAAAAAACCCAAAACCCCCCAAGACTCTACTGCCCTTCCTAACGTTGTCTGACCTAACCAGAAATGCTGCCTCATGCTGGGTGACCGGTTCAGTGCCGTTAGGGGAGGGGGTGGGTCACAGCACCGAACGCTCCATTCAATTGTCAGGACGATTTTTTGGTCATCTGAACCGAGGGCAGTGATTTAGTAGAAGACGGGAGCCGGGAATGCTGGGACGTCGCGCCCCCCGTGTGGACACCGCTCGCAGGTGTCTGGGCTCCCGGCCCCCCGACCCCCGTTGAGAGGTGTGGCCCTGACCTACAGCACTCAACTGTCTCCTTGTGACCGGCCTCCACCCTGGGCTGGAGCCCCCCGTTAAGACGTGGACAGTGGTGTTTACCCGTTTGGTGAGCTGCGTATCCATCATGAAGTTGTGGACGTGCTTCTCTGCCTTGGTGAGCTCCAGCTTTCGGGCCACCACGGCCACCACGAGGGCAGTGCAGCCCGCACCCTGTGGGGGACAGAAGGGGGGAGAGAGCCCGGGATTACAAGGCAGGCTGCAGGCAGAGGACAGCTCCCCCGCCGGGCCCACTGGGGGGGTCCAGGAGACGACGGGTGCCCGGGGTCCCTGGCCGGTCGGGCCCTGATTGCCGCCCCCACAGAGGAGCCTGCCCAGGGCTGACCTCCCTCCAGGAGAGGGGAGACCACTGAGTCTTCAGAGGACCAGCCAGGTGTTAATGGAGCGGGGGTGGGGGGTGGGGCTGAGGCTTCCAGGGATTTAAAACAGCAGATAATCACTCGGTCGTTGGCAAGGCTGTGCGGGTGGACAGTCTGGGCACTAGGCCCCGTCTCCCTCGTGTTTATCCAAGCCCACCCCCCGCTCCAGACCAAGGGGCCGGGAAGAGAGAAGGCCATGCTGATACGAGAGTCGGGGTGGTACAGCACCTGCCATGCACCCCACAGGGCACCCCACAGGGCACCCCACACTGCACCCCGGACTTCAGCCCACAATACACCCCACACTGCACCCTGGGGGAACGGGGTTGGCGTGAGTGTGCGAGCTCGGGATGGGGCTTGTTCAGCACTCGGGTCTTTGTAGGCAGAGGTCCAGCTGTGACTCAGCACAAGGACCGAGCCCCTTCTCCATTCGTCCCGAGACCCCGCAGACACCATGGGGACACAGGCTTCCGCCCCAGGCCAGGGCTTCAGGGAGCCTGCAGCAGCCCTCAGTACTCCCCCCAGCGATGTTCTCACTGCGGGCGCACAGGGGTCCCACAGAACCCCCTCTGCGAGCCCGCGGGGCGCTAGCCTGACTGTCCGGAACCGACGGATCCTGAGTCCCCGACGGGGGGCTTTCCCGCCCACCCTCGAGCTCAGGGACGCCCAGGCCCGACCCCTGCTCACCCCTTTGCAGGGGCAGAAGTCAGTCCTGCCCTGCCTCGCCCCTGCCTCGCCCCTGCCTCGCCCTGCTCTACCTCGGCCTCGCCCTTCCCCTGCCTCCCCCTGCCCTCCCCCTGCCCCTGCCTCCCCTGCCTCCCCCTGCCCTCCCCCTTCTCCTGCCTCCCCCTGCCCCTGCCTCCCCTGCCTCCCCCTGCCCTCCCCCTTCTCCTGCCTCCCCCTGCCCCTGCCTCCCCCTGCTCTGCCCCCGCCTCGCCCTGCTCTGCCCCTGCCTTCACCCTGCCCTCCTCCTGCCTCACCCTGCTCTGCCCCTGCCTCGCCCTGCCCCTGCCCCTGCCTTCACCCTGCCCTCCCCCTGCCTCGCCCTGCCCTGCCCCTGCCTCGCCCTGCCCCTGCCCCTGCCTTCACCCTGCCCTCCCCCTGCCTTCACCCTGCCCTGCTCTGTCCTGCACACTGGCCTGGACCACCCCGCCCTCCCTCATGGGAAGAGAGGAACAGTCTGACCCTCTAGATGCCAAACTGTAACTGTAGTTGCCACAAGCCTGGCTTAGCACTGGGAGGTCCCAGGGCTCGAGGGCTCCATCAACAATGTTTTTGGCTCATCAGTCGAACAGAATGGGTTAGAAACAGAGAGAGATGTTTTTCAAGGTACACCATCCGCACTGCAGCCGGGAGGAGTGCGTGTGGCGGGACGGTCAGCAAGGGCTGGCTGGTGTCAGGCTTTGGCTGAGGGGGCAACGCCTTCCCCCAGCTCTTCACAGCATTCCCTCCAGAATAATCTCCCATTTCCCAGTACATTTGGTGAACAACCCACTTCCAGCACAACAAACTGAAAAGGACCGTTTCTCCGTGAACCTTCCTTCTCTGACCTCATCTTCCTCTCTTGTTCGGGAATGGCTGTGTTTTCTTGGCATCTACGTCTTGCAGAAGACTGTGCCCAATTTTCAAAGGATCTGTACGGGATGTTGGACAGCCTGGTCCATAGCTATCGTTGATTTAATCAAGCCTCCGAAAGTAACACATGGCTTATAAGGAGTTGTTCTGGAGGGAAGAGGTGTTAACCCTAACCCTAACCCTAACTCCATTCCCCTCAACCACACCGAGTACCATCCCTCTCCTTTGTGGGGAGTTCCAAGCCCAAACAGAGGGACATATCATAGTGTTAAAAATGGGGCCTCGGGGGCGCCTGGGTGGCTCAGTCGGTTAAGCATCATGATCCCGGGGTCCTGGGATCGAGCCCCACATTGGGCTCCCTCCTCCGCGGGAAGCCTGCTTCTCCCTCTCCCACTCCCCCTGCTTGTGTTCCCTCTCTCGCTGTCTCTCTCTGTCAAATAAATAAATAAAATCTTCAAAAAAAAAATGGGGCCTCACTCGGAGAGGCCTCCCCAGGCTCTGTTCTCCCTCGCCTCCCCCGGGGCCAGGAGAGCAGAGTTCCACTTTAATCGCACCTACAAGCCAGGGGTCAGAGGCGCTGAGGAGGGGTCCCCCACTCATCACGCTGCTCTGGGGATCCCATCAAACGATCAGTCGTGCACCATCCTGGACTTCCAGGGTCCGGGAGAGGGTCCCTGGCCCCCACCATGGCTCACAGCCCAGCTGCTTGATTGCAGGGGGCTTCTAATTGGAAGCCAAAGTGTTTTAACTAAGGAACCATCTATTTTATACGATTAAGATAAATTTCTGCATGGAGACAGGAAGGTGGACTGGATTACGTTTTCAATTTCTTTCGACTTAAAGGTGCCAAGACTCCCTTGTGGCTATTTCTCTGGAGGGCACTGGGTTCTTAACCACTAAGTCTGACTTGAATAGATAGCAGTGAATACTCTCAACTTTATTTTTCTTTTAGAAAATCCATCATCTGGATGTAATTAGGGAAGTCACCAATAATGAAGCCTCACTTGGTCATTTCCATTAAGAAGCAACCTTGTGAAGATGGGGTCAGACATCAGCAACCTCCGAAAAGTGGTGGGTACCGTGCTGAAGTCCGGACTGCTTGTCCTCTGTACAGTGTGTGTGTGAGAGACGGATAGAGAGGAGGAGGGAAGAGGAGGGGGACGGGAGGAGGAGAAGGGAGGAAGAGGAGGAGGAATGGAGGGGAAGAAGAGGAAGGGGAGGAGGGGGAGGGGAGAGGAGGGGCGAGGAGGGGGAGAGGAGGGGAGGGAGGGGGAGGAGCAGGGGGAGGAGGGGGGAGGGAGGTGGAGTGGGGACGGGAGGGAGGGGAGGGGTACAGAGAGAGAGTGAGCTGGAGCAGAGACCAGACAGGGAACACTCCAGCTGAGTCCTGAACAATCAGGGCAGAGCGGGGGAGGAGGGAAAGGCTGGGTGACGGGGTTGAGTGAGGAAGGCAGGAGGTTGAGGGAGGCAAGACTTGAGTCAGGAGGTAACCGTCAGGGAGCACCTGGCTGGCTCAGTTGGTTGAATAGCTTGATTTCGGCTCAGGTCCTGATCTCAGGGCTGTGAGCTCGAGCCCCAAGACAGGCCCCGTGCGCAGCGAGGAGTTGGCTTGAGATTCTCTACTTCCCTCTCTCTCTCAAATAAATAAATCAGTCTTTAAAAAAGCAGGTAACGGTCAATTTTGGCTCTTTGGTGGAGATGAAGGGTGCGTTATGGGAGCCCCTCCCTCCCACGGTGCTCTCCTGTAAGGGGTCTGTTGATGGATGTTCCTCGGGACGGCGGGGCGCCTGTGGGCAGGGCGCATCCCCGCCAGGGACGGCTCCAGGAGACAGGGCGCACAGGCCTCAGCCGGCGCCCGCCATCCCAGCGTGGGCAGAGGGGCCTGTGGGGAGGACGGCGTGGGACGGAAGGGGGCAAGCCGCCGTGGGTGTGACTTCCACGGGGTCACCGCGGAGCAAATCCATGACTCAGACTTCCGCCTTCAAATGTGACAAGTCCCGAGTCACAGCTGAGGGCAGCTAGATTCCTGGGTCCCCTCTGACCAGCTCCTACTCCCCGGAGGGGCGGCATGGGCAGGGTCCCCCGCCACCTGCCGCCCGGTTCGTGGCGAGCAGGAGCAGGAGTGGGCGGAGGAAGGTGTGGCCAGGCCGGTGAACCTGCCAACTCGTCTGCAGGTTTGTCCTCCACACCCGTCCTCCCGCCTCTCTGGCATCAATGGTGGGGCCAAGTCTCGGAGGGAAGCCTGGGCGGCTTACGCAGCATTCTGTCTCTGCAACAACCTCCACGGAACAACTGGTTTGAAAGCAAGGTGTTTCAGGGAGAAGCTCACCTTCTAAACCTGACCAGAAGCAGACGTCCGCTGAGCCTCCTTCCAGAGCGACTCAGAACGTGGCCCCACGTTCCCTTTGCCGTTCAAAGAGCATCTCTCCTGAGGCCATGGGGGGAGCTCAGTGTCCCCAGCAGACGTCCTACAGCTTTCGTCTATTTGTCCCAAACTCAGGAAGGGTCTGCAGAGCGAGTGCAGGTGATCTGTCCTGACACGGGGCTCCTACTAAGTGGTCTTGGGGGCCCCACGCGCCCCCAGATGCCTGCGGCCGGCCCTAAGGGTGTGGCCAGGTCCAGTTCTGGAGACTGAATGTCGACAGCTTTCTCTGACTGTCACCGTCATGACGCTCTTTAGGGAAAGATGCCGGACTTTGACCGACCGGCTTCTGTGGCCGGAACCCCTCCAACGCACCGGGTCTGGGCCAACAACGTCAAGTTGCTCAGACAATTACATACCCTGCCTAATGGTTGATAATTACACCGTTTCTGGGACTGCCAGGAGAAAACAATGATTAAGACTATTTACAGCCGCACACACACATCCTTCCCTCCCCTCTGGCAGCCTCGCTGGGCCCAGGTATCCATGGCAACTGCATGGGGAGCCCTACCTGGAGTGTGGGCTCGGCTGTAACCACCGGGAGGGGCGCTGGCGGGAGGCAGGGGAGGGGGAGGGCGGCTCGCACCGTGAAACCCTGGCAAGAATGACTCAGCTAGAAAAGTCACACTTGCTAGAAGAATGCCACTAAGTTCTTCCCTGGGGCCGACCCCCAGGGAGGCCACGGACTTGAACCTGGGTGGGAGCACTGACAATGAACACACAGCCCCTGAACACGGAGAGGTACGGATTTACGCACCAGGGTTTTGGGAAGAGAGAAGATGAAGGGCCTGCGCTGTGTTTTTAATAATGGGAGGGGGTACGGCCCTCCTCATCCTCGCATTCTCCCGCTTTGAACCTACCTCACTCCAGAACAGCCCTGGCCGAGGTGCTGCACTGGCCAGGAGCAAACCCCCTGCCAAAGACCTCCCCCCCCCCCCAAGGAGCAGGCGTGGGGCCGGGCATCCTGCCTCCTGCGGCCGGGAGACTGGGGGGAGCCGGCTCCCCCTGGGGCTCACCCACCCCCCGGCCTGAGAGCTGGTCCTGAGGCACAGAGCCTGGCCCGGCCCGGGGGGGTGGGGGGTGCCGAGACCGGAAGGCTTTGGCCTTCAGGCAGCATTTCACTACTTTCTGGAAGGATCATTGCCTGGTTCCTGGTGGCACCTGGAGTCCGGCCAGACAGACGCCTTTGTTCTAAGGCCTTCCACTCACCCAGGGTTTCCTGGGCCGGGGATAAGCCTCTGCTTGACTGCTGTTCCAGGCCGGCTGGCTTTGGCGGGAAGGGGCTTCGGGGGGCAGAGGGGAGGGCTGTGTCCAGGCGGGAGACGGCAGTGCTGGGCTCTCCTGCTTGGGGCCCCTGACCCTAGAGCCTCCTCTGCTCCGAGGGGCCTGCACTCAGCTGCCTGGTCACTGAGATCAGTGCCAGAAGGCCCCCGGGCTGGGGGGTGGGGGGCAGCCCCCACTCCAGGTGAGGCTTTAGTGCCCTTTTCGCTGCAGAAAGGAATTGTTCAGAGGGAAAAGTCCAAGGGGCACCAAAAGGAAAGATTTTCACCCAAGTGTGGGGGTTGCAGAGGGGCTCCCCTAGGGAGGGCTGTGGTGTCCACGGGGGGCCCCAGAGCCGAGCAGAAGGCCTGTGCACCCCCACACCCCACCCCAGCCACCCCTGGCCTCACTGCAAGCCCTCTCCTCTGAGCCTTGGGGGTCCCAGAGGGGGGCTGCCGGCCCTACAGGGAAGCGAGGCCCAGCCCCGCGTCATGGGGCCGGTGCAGGAGGGGTGGTGGCCTGGGGCTCCTCACTGCCATCCACTGTCACCGGCAGCCCGTGAGGAGCTCAGGGCAGGCCCTCCGTCCCCGCTCTAGCAGCGGCCACGGGCTCAGGGCCCTGCCCAGTCCCCCCGCCCGGACTTCCAGTTAAGCTTTCTCAGACGGTCCCAGGCCCGGAGGGGGACCATTCAGGGCAAGCCCTGATGCCTACCGGGGCGAGCTTACGCAGGTGGGTGGGCTGGGTGGGGGTGCAGGTTCAGAGCAGGCCAGCCTTGCCTAGCCCATTTTGGGGTGCCGTGAAGGAGCCATTAACTCTCCGGAATTGGGACCCATTCCTGTGTTAGAAAAGGCACTAAGCCCGTGAGAGGCATCTGCCTCCCCATGTGGGGCGTGTGGTGGCTGCCGGGCGGGCCCCTCTGTGCCCCTCGCAGCCCTGGAGGGAGGGGATGCCGGGCAGGGGCAGGTACTCACCATGATACCGGTGAGTAGACAGACGCCCTTCCCACAGTATGTGTGGGGCACCATGTCCCCGTAACCGATGGACAGGAACGTGATGGAGATGAGCCACATGGCGCCCAGGAAGTTACTGGTGACGTCCTGCTGGTCATGGTACCTGCCGAGGGGGAGACAGGGCTTAGTGGAGGGAACCGCCCGCCCTGGGGGTCGAGGCTGTGGGCAAACCCGGACCGGGAAGGACATGGGTATTTGCTGAGGTGGCAGTGACCGAAGGCGCCCGACTTTGCCCGCCTGGCCCCCGCCTCCTCCAGCTCACCCCCAGAGGCGCTCCACGCTGTGGACGCCCTCCGAGTGCTGGTACAACAGCTTTAGGTGAAATCATGCAGGAGTAAAATCTAGATGTTCCCTTCCAGCGACAACCTGAGTGTGTGTGGATGTGATCATCTGAAATCACAGGCCCCTGAACAGGGGAGAATGTCCAAAAAAATCACCAACAAATCTAGCACTTTTCTCTAAGAAGGTTGAGGGATCCCAGAGAAGGGGCCCCTGCTCAGGGCGCAGAGGGAGGTTGCCGCCACGGGGCTCTCGGGGCTGTTCTCAGGGGCGCTGGCATCCTCCTGCGGAGCTGGAAGGGGCTCTGGGCTCCCTGTCGGCGGGGGGTGGGGGGCGGCGCTGGAACGGTACTGTGCCCATCTGCTCTGCCCGGGGCCCCCCGCGCCCTGTCTTTGCCCTGCCTCCTCTCATGCCCAGACACGAAGCCCGCTGTGTGCCAGGCTCTGTGCCCAGTGCTGACATACAGACCAACAGGACACAGCCCCTGCCCGCAGGCTCTCAGCTCAGGGGAGGGCCGGTGAGGATGCAGACATTTGCAGAAGTGGGTGCACAGGGTGCCTCTCAATCAGGAGAGAAAGGGCAGTGACCTGGACCCAAACACCGGCAGGTTGGTCAGAGGCTGCCGTTTCCAGGCTGGCCATGGGGAAGGGTGTTCAGGCAGAGGGAACACCCTCACGAATGCCCGGGGCTGGGCTCGCGGGTGGCAGGGGTCCGGGGCGCCCCGGGGGCGGCAGCGCAGGCAGAGGTGGGTCCTTTCTCAGAATGTTCGCTAACAGGGTTCGCCTGAACCACACACGAGGGACTGACTCTACAGCACAGAGGTGAGGTAGCCAGGTGGGAAGCAGGTGGAAGGGGCCAGGAGGGAGGTGCGGGTGACTGCCTTCCTCACCCGCCTGAGCCTGCCTGAGCAGATTCCAGGGAGCACGTCGGCAGCGGGCTGTCCAGCCCCAGCCTGACGCCAATACCAGCAGAGATACGTGCATTAGCATCTCCACGCCGTCCGCACAAGGCCACGTGCACCCAGAACTCCCGGGGAACGTTGCAAGGACAGGCATCCCCTCGCCGAGTTCTGTTGCCCTCTTCCTGCCGCCCCACCTGCCCTCTCCCGGTTGGCTGCCTCCGGCGTCGGCCCGTCAAGCTACACGGGAGTGGTACCTGCTGGGGCCGCGCACTCGATCCCCAAGACAGAGTGTGCCCTGCTCCCGTGCCAGGGGCCTCCCCGTCCCATCCCCCCAGCCCCCGTCCCTCCCGCTCCTGTGCGCTGCCTGGGGGGCCGTGGTGGCAGACCCCCCCCAGGGCCTGCACCGAGCTGGCGGTGGGGACTCCTTCCTGGGAGGGGTGGGCTTCGGAGTCCGCAAAGCAGCCGGACTCAGTGACAGGCTGAATGCAGGGGCACACTTAGAGACGGCCCCACGCCGCAAGCCCGCAACGCATACACGAATGTGGGTCACCGGTTCATCCTGAAGGCATCTCGGGTCAGGTCTGGGGACGGCGAGGTTGGGGTGCATGGCGGAGAGGACGTGAGCCTGTGGCCTTGGGCTCCGCCTGCCCAGCCTCAAGCCCCAGGTCCCCCTCAAGTGGCTCCAGGCTGTGGGCGGTGACCAACCTGATCTGGGGCTGGGGGGGCTGTAGCACACGGACAACCCGCCCAGCGCCGGCCGCTCAGTCACTGTCGAGGGCAGGTATTGTCCGTCTGAGAACCATCTACTGAGAAACAGAGGGGGCGGGCGCCAACCAGGGAGTCACGAGCCGTCCATGCAGGTGTCTTCAAGTTCGGCTGCAGAGCTGTTTGATACAGGCATGAAGGAGGCTACTGTAAATTCTTGGACACAGAAGGGACACGGGACCCTGGGTGTCCGAGAAGGACTCGTCCAGCTGCTGCCGCAGGAGAGACGACGGCGGGCGGGCCCGACGCGGGCCTGCTGGAAAGTCCGCAGGTGCCCGAGGAGAAGCGACGGAGAGCCGCAGGGGACAGCCGTCGTCACCCACGCCGACGCTGACCACGGGGTCTGGACTTAACCTGTAGCCTGTCTTCTGCCTACGTTCCTGGCCCTGCCGTGCACGTGGGTCCTCACAGTGTCCCCTCCTTGCAAACCCGAGGCTTAACCTGGGGTCGCTGGCTGCTCAGCGGCCCACATGTGAGTGGCCCCGAGAGAAACAAATTGGAGCTCAGAGTGGGTGTGAGCAACAGGTAGTTGTCTTGTCGTCACCTTGATGTCCGATTTACGGTTTTATTTTTCTTCAAATTCCCTTTATGTTCTTGTGGGTTTCTTTGTCATTCGCACACCTATTGGTGCTGTGTGTGGGGGACAGAAGCAGGTCTTGGGGACGCCACTCACTCTTCGCCTGCGAGACTTGAGTGCTCTCCCCTTTGGGGGGGCACAGAGACACCCACTGCCCCACGTCATGGGGCCGGAGGCCTGTGGCCCACCGGGAGGGAGGCGATGAGCCGCCGCCCGGGCTGGGGATTGAGGGCTGTGGGAGCAGAGAAAAGCTGTTTCCAAACCTGTTCACAATTTTACAGTGGTTTACACCTGTCACAAATCCACGTGTGCATGTCATGCTATTTTTTTCAACAGAGAATTTTTCAGAGAACCATTTTTTTCTTTAAGCGCTAAAGAGGAAAAGGTATCTTTTTTTTTAAGGATAGTTATTGTAGTTATTAATTTCTCATTAGGGTGTGGACTATTTTTTTCATTTTTTAATATTACGAAACAAATGATAGATACAGGCGACCATGTGACACTTGGTGGCAAATTAAACACACACGGTCCTCAGACCCTTCCGCACGGCAGACAACCGGGCGTCCCCAGAAACCTGAGGAGAGTCTCTCACGTGAAAGACACAGACTGAGTCAGTTAAACAACGAAACAGGACTCTGGATCCCAGGCAGCCCATTTGCACGGAAGAGCACATGGGGTAACCCTGTCCTGAATCAACATTGTGAGAAAGACAACACTCTGGCCCCAGGAGATGCGAGGTGATGCTGGACAAGGGGGTCTTTCTGGAAGGACTGGGGGTCAATGGAGGGGTCTCCCAAAGGCAGAGGTGAAAATATGAGAAAATCACTGAACCCATCTACCAATTCAAATATTAACAGTTTCAGAAACAGAACTAGAAAAAAGGAGGAGGAGAGAAGTAATCATTAAAGAAATCATTAAAAATTTTTTTCCAAAACAGAAGGACGTACGTTTCTAGATTGAGGGCCCTCTGTCCCCAGGCAGTGGGTGAAAAGATTCACACTGAGGCACATTATTGTGAAATTTCAGAACACCAGGGGCGGGGGAGAGGTGTTATGGGACTTCCAGAGCCAGTGAGGGAGGGGGAGGCAGGGGAGGGGGACCCAGGGAGGGGGAGGGAGGGAGGAGGGGGAGGGACTGAGGGAGAGCGGGGGGGGGGGGGGGGGGGGGATGGAGAGAGGGGGAGGGAGGGAAAGAGGGAAGGGGGGGAGGGAGAGAGAGAGGGAGAAGGAGGGAGAGAGGGAGAGATGGGGAGGGAGGGGGAGGGAGGGGGAGGGAGGGAGAGGTCAAATACAATGAAGCAGAAATCGCCGTAACTTTGGACTGGTTGACAGCAACATTTGAAGCTGGAGGCCGTGGAATAACAGCTTCAAAATTCTGAAGGGAAATTACTTCCAAACCAGCCGAGGTATTAGTTCAGTCTGAAGGTTGAGTGCAGACATTTTCAGATCTGCAAGACTCCGAGATTTGCCTCCTCTGCACTCTTCCCACGAACCCACAGAAGCTGTGTCACCAGAACGAAGGAGCGAACCAAGAAGGAGGAAGCCTGGGACGGAGGGAGTGAGACCCTGCAGGACGGTGTCCCAGGGGGATGGGGGCCCAGGGGCCCAGGGGGACAGGGCCTGGTGGTCCTTGGATGCCGGCCAAGTGCCAGACTGGAGCAGGTCAGAGGCCCTGGGAGACACTTCTCCAAGAAGACAAAACTGACAGAAGAGCGAATGTGCCTGAGGGCCCCGAGACAAGGTTGGACCGCCGCCAGAACGTGGAGCCGAATTAGGGATAAATACACGGAAAGAGCTGAGCACGTGACCAGACACGGTGATTCACCAGGAGAAACAAGTTCTGCAGGAGAGGCATCACTGTCCTTTCCTGAGGGCACAGCCATGAACAGTCAAGCACGTGCTGGTGGGACTTGATGGCCAACCAGGATCAGGAGAGGCCGGTGACGGGGATGGGAGGCCGGGGGGGCGGGGAGCAGGGCCACATCCTCACCTCCCGCGTGGGAAGAGAGCAGATGGCACCAAAATGGAAGTTTTGAATACCAGCAGTGCACTCATGTCCCTCAGACACGCGGAGGTCACCATGCGCAGTAACGGGCACAAGGCCCGCAGAGAGCTCCCTCTGGGGCAGGGCAAGCGAGAGGAACTGGCACCGAACCACGGACTCCAAGGTGTAACCTTGTGGAACTTCCATGATATCCAACATAAGACCAAGCCGAAGAGAAAAAGCCAGAAATGCATGTCACATAAAATTCAGTTATGAAGCATAGACACAAAAGAAGCGTCGCCGAGCTCACCGCACCAGCCGCCCGCCGAATGGCCAGCTGCACTCTCTCCGTTCTGGGCTCTGCATCCCGAGCTTGCACTCACCACGGCCTTCCACACGTGTGCACGCCCGAACGGCATACGGTTTAGCTCGGCCTGTCTCCGAGTGCCATAAAAACCAAGTCACACTGCAGCAGTATGGTCCCCAGCGGTCCCCTTCCTCCTCCTGCACATGCGTTTGTAATCCCGTCCTTCTGACCATGGGCTGGACCACGCGGCTTGTTTCTAACATGTGGCGGAAGTGATGGGCTATCACCTCT